AGAGAGCAGAACACACACAAAACACGGAACAGAGTCTGACATTACTCCCGCGTCCTCACGCCACACAACATCCAACAGGGAGGGGGGGTGGGCGCTCTGGAGGTCCCTCAGGACAGACACGGGACGGTGGACCCCTAGAGCGATACCCGTTCGGGGTGCCATGACGGATCAGGCAGCTCGGGGAGCCATGGCGGAGCAGGCAGCTCAGGGAACCATGGCGGAGCAGGCAACTCAGGGAGCCATGGCGGATCAGACAGTCAAGGAGGCCATGGCAGAGCAGCCTCCAAGGCCGCGGCCCCAGCCCCAGCCCCAGCCCCGGAGCCCTCCGTGGGCTAAACTCGGGAACAAGAGCCCTCACTAGAGCGAGCTCTGGGCCTGGAGCCGACACTGGAGCGAGCTCAGGAGCGGCCGGCGAGCTTGACAGCAGGGCGGTCCTCATACCGCGGGGAGAAAAACGGGAAAACAAAAGACTATTCAAAACGAAAATAAAAACACGGGAGAAGGGGCGCCGCTTACTGTTTTGGGTCCGCTGTTCTATCACGATTCACACTGGGAGCACAGGAACGAAGGAGCGAGGAGACGAGGAGTAAAGCAAATTCCAAAGTCTTTAATGAAAACAAAGCTGGGAAACACTGAGAACACGAAATTACATTTAACAGCGGACGCTAGAAACAGGGACACACAGGGCTGAAGTAAAAAGAGGCAAATAAGATAATTAATTAAACACAGCTGGAACTGATAGAACTAAATAGGGACAGGAACAGGAAAAAAATAATATGGGCATAATAATCAAACTGGAGCACGTGGGGGAGGAAAACGCAACATGAGACATGAAACAGAGTCTGACAAAATGAATGTTTGGAAATGTAAACTGATATTTATTACTGACACACTATAGCAAAATATAATGCCATTTGCATTTGGAAGCTGTTGATCTGAACCCACATCATGCGGTCAAAGGAATTCTGAAGTGTATAGGGATATACTGTCAGCCCAGATTCAGCCAAATGCAGCAAAGTTGATTGGACAGCACTTCATAAACAAAACAAAAGGCAGAAAGACCCACAAACAGACAATAACTGAAGTCAGCTGCAGTAAAGGCCTGGCAAAGCATCAAAAAAAGAGGAAACCCAATCTTTGGTGATGTCCATGAGTTCCAGACTTAAGGCAGTCATTGCCTGCAAAGGATTCTCAACAAAATATTCAAAATTTACATTTTATTTATGATTATATTTATTTGTCATATTACATTTGAGCCCCTGAAAATGGGGGGACTGTGTATAAAAATGGTTGTAATTCCTAAGCATTTATGTTATATTTTTGTTCAACCACTTGCATTAAAGGGGTCATATGATGCGATTTCAAGTCTTCCTTTCTCTTTGGAGTGTTACAAGCTCTTGGTGCATAAAGAAGATCTGTAAAGTTGCAAAGACTAAAGTCTCAAATCCAAAGAGATATTCTTTATAGAAGTTAAAAGTCAACCACGCCTACCTAAAACGCCTCGTTCTAACACGCCCCCACATATCTACGTCACTATGTGGAAATATTAGCATAATGCTGCCCAAATGTGCACGCAAAGAAAGAAGGCGTGGTTTCAGGAACAGCAGTAGTGTTGATGCAGCCATGTCAGGGAGACGCTGTGTGTTTCAGTGCGAAAGCAAAAGCACTTTATTTG